TACCAGCCCAACAATTACCTTGACAAAACCTAGTTCTCTAGTTAATGTTAGGACCAAGAAAACCAAGAACGCCGCAGGGAAGGATGATGCATCGGTTGCGCGCTCATCTCATACGCCGCCTCCCCACGGGTACGGCGGCGAGCGGTGGTCAGCGTAGCCGCCCGCGCCCATGGCCGCCGGAGGTTGCTGATGGGAGGGCGCCATTGGCAGCTGTGGCTGCTGCACATCTTGCCCACCAGCCGAGGTAGCGGTGGTGGAGAGGTTGGGCTTGACGTCGAGGGGCTCGGGGGCATCGGCGAGCGGGAGGCGCTCGTAGACCGCGTTGGCGAAGGTGGCGGCGAAGATGGTGACGGGCCCGGCGGCGACGAGGGGCCCCACGACGCAGCCGCCGAGGACCTGGCCCTGGCCGGCGGAGACGAGCACGGCGAGGCCCGACGCCTCGGGCGGGGCCGGGGGTGGCAGCACGGTGCCCGTGACGGAGAGGAGCTCGAACCGGCCTCGGAGCGGCATCGCGGCGCCGCGCACGGCCACGTCCCCGACCGCGCCCGACGCGCCCAGGACGCAGACGCCGCGGCCCCGGCGGCTCGCGTACTCCGCCACGCACGCCGACACGTCGGCGCCCGGCGCCACCTCGAGCACGTGCGAGTGGAGCGCGTCGGGGCTGTCCCGCGTGATGATCACCGGCGGCTTCGGCTTGTTCTTGGACCCCCAGCGGCCGGCCCGCGGCCGACGCAGCGGCACGATGGCCCCCGCCGCGCCCGCTGCTTGCTGCTGCTTGCCGCCCTCGGGCGAGGCCCCCGCGGCCCGGGCTGGCGCCGGGGGAGCTGGCGCCGTGGCTAGCGCCGGCGGCATGGGCACCGCCTGGTGCTGCTGCGGCGGCGGGAAGTCCAGTGCCGCCTGCTCCCACCACTTGCTGCTGGCCATGCACGTACCCTCCCTCCCTCCAAATCTGCCACTGGCTGGACCTACAGTGTTCCTGCAGCTCCTCCAAAGCTTCCTGCCTTCTTGCCTCCTCTTCCTGGATCTCGACTAGAGTAGACGAATAGGGTATAGGGAGCAGCTGGAGAGAGAGAGATAGAGAGAGAGAGAGCGGGGTCTGCGGGGAGGTGAGCAGTCCTTTGTTGCAGGTTTGGTGCGTCTGTTCCGCGCAATGGAGCATGGGAGCGCCTCGTGACGGCGGGGACAGGTGGAGCGCTGCGAGGAGGCGCGGCACCGTCCCCCGCGCCGGGTACGTGTCGCGCGCGGTGCAGGCCGAGCGCCCTCGCCCAATCTGTAACGCTCGGTCGTCGTCCACTAGTCCGCGCCCGTTTCCTGCGACGTTCCGCTCCCCGTTACTCCTGCTGGCCGGTGCGAAACTGTCCACAGAAACCAGATGCCATCCCATACATACACATCCAAGCTCCCCATGCCTTCGACGTGAACGATTTCACAGTTTTTAGATTGCTATATGAAACTCAATCGTGTCTCTACGGTACGTGATATCGAGTTTCATGCTTCAACCATTTCGGCTAACAATTGAAGCTTTTTGAAATCAGCATGGCAAGCAATGTCAGACTTAGGGCCTGTTTAGATCCAGTAGCAATAAAAATTAACAGCTAAAATTAGTGCCAGTGGATCCAAATAAATTTGCTAATGGAACTAATATTTAGCAGCCCTCCAGCTAATAATTAGTAGGTTATATATATATATATATATATATATATATATATTTATTTATTTATATATATATATGAACTCCCTATCCAACCACTTATTACTAGATGGATCTAAACAAACCTCTGCTTAAAATTAGCAGCTATTAGCTATTAACTAGCTTAGTACTAATGAATGAAACAGGTCCTTGAATAGTTGTCAAAACCAGTAAGACGATACACACTTCAATATTTGGCACTTGACAGTTGCCACTAAGGCTCTGTTTTCATCGAAGAATGGTGATCCGATGAGATTTACTCATTGGCATACAAGGGTATCAACTTTGTTAGTATAATAATATATACACAGCCCATTCGGATAGCTACGAAATGGCTTGATTGACAAGTTTGTCCCGTTCCAGATGGAGTAAACGCAACTTCGCTGCATAATAATGACGGTATCGCTGCCACCTGACCTTAGCTTGCATTTGATTGCTACCCATGGTTTATAAAAACCTGCAGTCGTAGAATAGGATTATCTTGCTCAATAATATACACTTGAGGGCAAGTGATGGCCCTTAGTCAACTCGTTGATCCAGGCACTAATTTTTTAAAGCCGCCAACAGCAACTTGCTGTGCACAACTAATGACCAGGGGTTAGCAGGAAGCATACTTTTCCTTTGGGTGAGTAGGAGTATTACACAATCAACTTGAGGGCAAGTGATGGCCCTTAGTCAACTCGTTGATCCAGGCACTAATTTTTTAAAGCCGCCAACAGCAACTTGCTGTGCACAACTAATGACCAGGGGTTAGCAGGAAGCACACTTTTCCATTGGGTGAGTAGGAGTATTACACAATCAATCTTCAGTTGTTCGGAGTTTATATTGGGTCATGGTTTTGCGCTGTGAATAGTGTAATCTTGTTGGGCACATGCTTGTTTCATCAAAATAACAAAGACTCAGTTGAAGTTGTTGCATCTTACATCGGTGAAACCGAAGATGCATGAAATTGTCTGAATATAATAGAAGATTTATTTCCATTTGTCATGACATTATTGATTTGCAAAGTGCAAAGGTTTTAGTTCGGGACAATGCTACGGTACATCCTTTACTTACTTAGGAGGTAATATCTTAAACAAATTTGAGTCCTTGATTTTTTTAAAAAAAATTAGACTAATTGATTAATTAATTGACGTAGGAAAAAGAAAAAAAATCTTGCCAAATCCCCAAGTCACGGTGACCTCGTCACGGAGACAGAGGCTGCTTGCCTCCTTCCTTTTCTGTGAAGATAAGAAATTAAGGAACCTATAAAAAAATTAAGGAAATCTTCACTGATAATAAGTTTTAACTTTCAAGACCTTTTACGTTTATATTTTAAATCTCACCATGCCGATTTCAAGTTGATATCTGAATGAAAATCTGAATTCAAACTAGCCAATTTGTATTCATATACGATATGTCCATATCTGTATTCGAAGTCGAACTATAATAAGGATAATGTTTTCTGAGTTCGATTTCACGCACATTTGTATTCCATAGTTTATCTTAGAGAGCAATTTTCTATTATAATAAATATATAATAGAAAACATTTATGTGGTATCTTATAGAGCATGTATAGACGTCTATAGATGCTAACACGTTTTGTATAGTAGCACGGTAACATGTAAGCACGTCCAAAATCACACATGTGGCACTATGGCAACACGGTACAAAATTGTGTGTAAATCAAGTGTATCAAGTCGTATACAAAATTATATTGTAATCATAATATATCAAGTCTAAAGTTGCCAAATAAAAAGGATCTACCATATCTGCCAGATCACACATGCATTAATCAAATCTAGAAAAAATATTTTTTATATCTCAAACTTTCCTTTTTTATCATTTTTGTGAAATAAAAAAATTAAATAAATATATACTTCACATATCACCTCCTATGAGGTAATAGGTGATCGTAGCCGTTCAATCTAAGAAAATGAACGGCGTTCGATCTAAGAAAATGAACGGCTCACAGTTATTTGAGGATACCGTACCATTTCCCTTTACTTTGGCCAAGCTAGGCCAAATCAACCAAAGGGCAAAATGTAATGGCTAAGCCGATTTTTCCAAAAGATCTGCAAAGAATTACAAATCCAAGACGAAGGTGAGGTCGGGCTTTTAGGAACTTTTGGACATGGTTACCAGGAAGAAAAAGAATTGTCCAAGCAAGGAGGATCTGAAGACATCGGAAAAACATCAAGAGCAACCAGGTTGTCAATCAAAGTTAATCATGTTATTGTACCTTACCCTATTTATGGGCCATTTCTATGCACACTTGGTTATATCCTTGCACTTCCTCACTTTAGGATTATAGTAGTATGCATATGCCCTAATATATTATTCAATATCCAATTGCATACTCCAATTATACTTCATCACCATGACTGATTATTGTTAATTATAATCTGGTCAAAAGCACATCGCCTCATGTTAAAAATAAAGTGAGAAGAGAATCAAGTAAATATTTAAATATCTACAGTCGAGGTGGTGTCCCTTAGGATCATCTCACACACAAAAGTGATTGCAGCTAATGCGCATAGAAAGACCAATGGAGCAACAAGTACAGGTTATTCTAGCAGAGGCTAAGCAAAAGCCAACATCTACAAAGAAGGTATGGAAGCCGAAATAGGTTGCGTGTACATCTACTTGAGTTTGATCAAGAGTTATGACCAAAAACATGATTATCGCCCTTAGAAGAAAATATGGTCTATGAATATTGTTAATCATCATTGTTAGGCTGTTGTGGTCTATAATAATGTTTTTTTAGTATTCAGGCTTTATAAAAAACAAGGAGTATATGTTGCAACTCAAAAATGGCCAAAAGAGGCAAACTAGGATTGATTCTAGGAAAAAATGGCTTAGTCGGTTTCCCAAACATGCCAAGCTGATTTTAGAACTTTCTCAATTGCAATTTGTATTTTACCATTGTGTTCCAGTTCTAGAGACAATCGAAATGCATAATATCGAAGGCCAAATTTGGAGTCCAAATAAGGAAATTATGCTTTTGGAAAGATTTAGCCCGTAAACCGATTAAGCTGATATTAGCAGCCTAGATTAAATTAGAGTTGTATTTGACATGATTTGTAAGAGATTTCAACTGCCATGAGATAAGTCCACTCCACCCTATAAATATAAAGGTTCACTGTCGTTTTAGGGCATCTGATCAATCAAAAAATCAATCTATTATCTTCTTTGTCTTTGTCTTTTACTATTTTCTGCCCTGATCTCTTCTAACCTCCATAATTATTGTTCTATAAGCATATTAATGCTATTTGTGAGCATTCTAGGTGGTCTTGTTGATTCTAGATCAACCCTAGGTGCGCCTCCTCGATGGGCTCCTTCCCAAGAGGTGTCTCTAGGTTCTTCGCGGTAAATCTGCCAAAACTAGCTAACCCATTTTTCTTTGCTTCATCGTGAATTGATCCTCAAGAGTAAGTGATCCTCATGTGATCCGAGCATGCTAGCCCTTTAGATGTAGGGCTAGATTTGTGTCAATAGAGGATTGTCATTTAGGACGCATCGTGTTGTTTGACTCAAAGGTTGTACTATGATGTCTTTGTCTGCTAGTTGTCTCTTGAAAGTAAACTCTCCCGAGGGTCAAATGGGTGGTGCTAGAGTGATGGGATCGTTGGTTTCATTTGATGTAGCTAGTGGCAAGATGATTGCATTCGAGGGGTCACTTTGGGTATTATTTGTGTTTCATGTAGAGGCTTGTGGATCTCCTTGGGATGCACTTGATGATGTATTTCTTGCTGTCCTTGGTTTGTTTGTTCAATCCACAGATGGTGCCAAACTATTGGGAGGCAGATTCTCCCCTAGACACTCATGGGAGGCTCGATGGTTTCAGGGATCACGAGCTCTCAACAGTAAGTGAAAAAACAAAGTTAAAGCCGTAAAAAAGAACACAAAAATAATAACATGTTTCTCTCTTTTTCAATCATCAAACATCATATTTATAGGAGAGACAAATGGTTGCCCTCACAAGATGTCCCCTTTATACCAACTATATTCCTGACATATTCGAGGCACAATGGTTTTTTGCCCAGATCTACCGGTTTTGTAGTCCCACTTGCTTGCTCTAGTTCTCCACCTTGAGGCGAGTTCATATTGGAATAACGAAGGTTTAATTTCTCTCGCCCCTGCTCATCGTGTAGCTTTGGGATCTCACAGGAGTTTTTGAGTCTCATCTAGAACCCTTCAGGAGCTTCCAATCACCATGTTGTTCCGCAATTACCTGCACTCTCTTCACTGTCCCATCTTCTCCTTGTAGGTTGGTGTTACCTACGTACGTGGATGCTGAGTTTGATGCACCTCCACATGCAGGTGCAATGGAGAGAGGCGATGTATGAAGGGGGATGGTGTTTCCAAAGGTCTCAGCCCCAATAGAACATGTCCCCTATTCCTTCTTACCTTTGTTAGTAACCTTCAACCATAGTTGCTAGCTATGCATAAAATACAAAAAAAATATACAAAATCTTAGTTGATTTCTATGGAAACTATTTTGCTATCACCATTTTATTACAATTAGTTCAAAGAGACCACAACATAAAATACAAAAATAGATTTACACAGTAATTCTGATATCATAGTTTGCTAATCCTTGAGCTTCATACTACTTTAAAAGGTAAATTCCTGTGGTTGTATAAATCCCTAACTTTTCTATCCTCCAAACTGTTTGACAATCAAAGTATTAAGGACTACAGCATGTAATTTATTTATAAGCTCATTCCACTTTGTTACCCTCTTTTGTTCAAAAATCTCTTTCGAAATCCTAAGGGGCCATTTGGCAGCGCTCCTTGGAGCAGCTTCTCCTAGCTCCCTCTTCGTCTAAACACTAAAAATCTATATAGTCTAGTGGAGGGCGGACAATAATCACTTCTTTATTTACCTGGGGAGCTAGAAGCAAAAAACTCATTTCTCACTCCCTATTCAATCCACACCAGAATCATTTCATATTCAATTCTTACCTGCTCCCCACTAGAATCAACTAGAATCACTCCATCAAAGAATCAAGGAACTAGATCTGAAAATCAGGGAGTGAAACTCTACCAAACATGCCCTAATATTATTACCCTTCATTCTAACAATATGTTACTCTATAATGCATTATTCTTTCAGTGGTAGACGAGATGTCTGTTGATAGCAAAACACTTGTGGTGACTTTAATTTGGCAATCTTAAGATTTGCTTGTTTAGTTTTTGGAAGGTGCTCGTATGGGTAGAGTTTGTATGTGTATGTTCATAGGAGTGAGTGTCCATGTATGTATGTAAGTGTCTATGGTTGTGTTTCGCAAAAAAAGGTATATCATCTATCTCCAATGAGTTCCAACAAATTTCCTCTCCTAAGCAAGAGGTTGGATATGTTGTTTCTATTTGCATCTGGAAGGACTTATTGTTCATCCATGTTGTAGATTTTTGTTCAATGTTACCGGTTGCTCCACTATGGAATTATAAGCGCCATGAGTGAGCTCTAGACATTGGATTTGTGGCTTACCCAATGTTTGGGGTTACTCAACAATTCTAGTGTAGTGATTGTGATTGTTGTGTGACTGACTATGGCACTCCATGGTGTCTCATCCACTGGAGACAAGGTGAAGAGACATATACTCCTTCTGTCCCAAAATAAATCAATTCCTGAAATCACTTTAGATCAAACCATCTTAAGTTTTTGCAATTTAGCTTTTTGCGATGTACTGCCTCTATTTGAAAATCGATTAATTCCTAGAATCATATAAAGTCAAACTATCTTAAGTTCGACCAATTCTGCAGGAAATGATAATAACGTCTATGACACCAAATAAGTACAATATGAAAAATACATTTCATGATGTATCTAGTGATACTAATTTATTGTCATTAACATTGGAGCTCTTTTTCTATAAATTTGGTTAACGTTATTAATGTTTGACTTAGAACAACTATAAAAGTTTATTTAATTTTGAATGGAGGGAGTGTATCACAAGAGACAAAGACCAAACTAGAAAGTGTAGATGCTTCTCAATGCCTCTCTATAGAACAAAGAACTATTGTGAGTTTGTATGGCAATAATATATAACTCATATAATGGTTTAAGAATTATCTTATACTAGTAGTCATTAATTTTAAAGATGGTTATTTTTTGAAATAACTATCTCTTCATCTCAGCACCTATTTTATATGACATCCCTTGAGATCGATGCTGCTTAGCAATGTATTTGCCCATGTGTGTCCCCACTTGAGATTAGAAACAAGGGAGCAGTCGAGACCACAAAATTGAGCAGACATACATATCAAAGGATATCACGTTTAAAAACTGCAAGTCATTTTAGTTTTTGTTTCTAAATGAAACTTACTTAATTCTGACCGAGTTTATATAAAAATATATTAACATCTACAATATCAAATAAATGCACAACCAACATATATTATGGTGTATCTATTAATATTGCTATAGATGCTTGTTATCTTTTTATAAACTTGTCCAAAACTAAATAAGTTTGGAACACAGAAATTCAAAACAGAAGAATGGAAAAAAAATGTAGCAATAGAATATGAAGGAAACAGGAAAATAGAGGAATGGAGGTGTCTCATAAGACCATAGATGAAGGAAACCGGAACAGAGGTGTCTCACAAGACCATAGATGAGCACACGAAGGGCAGTCCAGTACTTCAATTTGTATGGTGACCAAGCCCATATGTTTCCGCTCAAAGCGGCAGTGTGGTGATCTGGGCGCAGTACTATATTCTCCAGGTTCATGTATGCCATAGAAATGCCTTTTCCCCTCAACCTGTCAACCCGCATCGTCAAGTGATTATTCTTTGTGTTTGAAGAAAGTCTACTTAACCCTCATCTTTCATACTTGGTCTACTTCACCCCCAACTATGAAACCGTCTGTTTTACCCCCTGAACTTTCTAAAACCGTCTATTTTACCCCATGGGTGGTTTTCAGTGGCGGGTTTGCTACCGTAAACGCGGTTTGCTACAGTAACCGTAGTTTTTAATTTCGTTTTTTTATTTTCGGGGAATTTTTGAAAAATCATAGTAAATCATAGAAAAATCATAAAATGATAAATCTAATTTTATTGGACTCCACATGAGTAGATCTACATAGTGAATATATAATACGGTATGCTTTAGTACAAAATGTTTTATTGAAATAATTCATAGCTGCAGCTTTTATGGTCCAATTGTGGTGAAATTTTTATGGTACGCTAATTATTGTATGCTTGAACTATAGTAAAAATTTCGTACTCATTGGAGTATGTATAACTTAGTTATAGATAAATTCTAATTAATTACAGACAAAATTGGATTTTCCAATTAATCTAAAGGTAAAAAAAAATTTGTACTAAAGCATACCATATTATATATTCACTGTGTAGATCTACTCATGTGGAGTCTAATAAAATTAGATTTTTTATTTTATGATTTTTCAAAAATTCACCGGAAAAAATTTAAAAAAGTTAAAACCACTGTTACTGTAGCACCACGTGGTTACGGTAGCAAAACCGCCGTTGAAAACCGCCCAGGGGTAAAATAGACGGTTTTAAAAAGTTCAGGGGGTAAAACAAACGATTTCATAGTTGGGAGTGAAGTAGACCAAGTATGAAAGGTGGGGTTAAGTAGACTTTTTCCTTCTTTGTCACTAACATAACATAAAGCTAAGCACTTTGACGCCGATCCAACACATCCCGAGCTCGTACTTTTCCCCACACCAAACAGCTCAGCCTGTCCGTCCCTTTCGTTAACTCGATCCAGCGAGCGAGTTTTATATATACTTTTAATTAAACCCTCGAGCTCGCGCCCGGCAGTGGCAGGTCAGCAGTAACATGCTCGCTTTGCCAATGGCCACTGGCCGCCACACCCACCTCTTCGAAGCCGACAAATCATCAGTGCTAATCCCGCGATCAGCCAGCACCTTGACCCCGCCTACGTGTCCCGGCTCGCCGGCGTATTATAGTGGCCCGGAGCGGCGCCGTGCCGTGGCCCGGGGTGGGAGCCCATGTGCGCGGCACCGGGCGGCAGCGGAGGGATCATTAGCCGACATGGGGCGAAAGCACGCACGCCCTTGGGGGAAAAAAAACAGCCCTAATCTTATCATCATCGTGGTCTAATCCTAATCCTACTTCTTTACTGTTCGCCCGCCGCATCCTTTGCGCCGACGAGGGAGTTTAGCGGCGAGTGACCACATGGCTTGGGCTTGCGCGCCTGGGAGATTTGGGCAGCTGGCGGCTTGGTGCGCGTGCGTGCGGGGTCGTGGGCTCTGCTGCCACAGAGAGGGGGGGTTATCTTGGCGTACGGTCGAATCAACCTGAATCCAAGGTCCAAGCCAAACCCACGTCCGACCAAATGGATCACTGGCAAGCCGCAATTTTACAACTAGGAGTCTGTCTAGGAGTAGAAAGATGTGCATAATCTAGTAAGCATTGACGTGACTCGTGATTTTGTCTGTGAATTACAAATGCTGGTCACCTTCACCTCAGATGTCTTTCTTGCATAAACAGCCCCAATCTTCCGGTCTAATTACTTTGACCGGATCAGGCCTCTCGCCCCTCGGACCACACCCTCTCGTTGCCAGTTTTCAGTTCCAATCTATCTGGCCCAAGTGGCACGCACATTTTGGTGGCCCGGCAGAAGGAACAACACGTCCTTATCCCAGTATAGCTTGACAGCTCACACGGCAGGAGGAGTCCGCAAGATCGGCCCAATATACTATGCTTTAGCACGTCAAACAGCTTAATAGTTACCCAAGGTACTGTTATAGACCACGAAATGTCCTAGGTAGCATAAGCAGCGACACTCTTTCGCTTTTCTTTTTGTTACTTTTTATTTTTCTCCATTTCCTTTATATTTAATTTTCTTCTTATTTATTTCATTTATATTTAATTGTTGTCATTTATTCCGTATTTATTTTTATTTTCGTTTCTATATAATTAATTAATACCATCGTAATCTTGTATCCATGATGGTGATATTCACTTGAACTATATCTTCTATATATAATAAGACTATTATCATAATATTCACGAGGTATATTTTCATTATAATATTTATGAGATGTTCTCATGGTATTCTTGAGATTTTCCATGCTATGTTATGTTTTTTAACAAATTGTTGGTATTCTATACATGCCGTATTTTAGTACACGTGAGATGTTCCACGATATATTTTAGATTGTTATTATTGTGTTTTCGATTGTTCACGTCGTACGATGAGATGTTCTATTATGTATTTTAGGTTGTTCGCATAGCGTCCATGATATGTTCTTTTTTTTTCTTACTACCGGAGACGGATATTATGGAATAAAACTAAACTATTGTTCTCCTCAACCTAGAACATTTTTCTTATGAAGATTGAACCTATAACATTGTGCAGCTTATTAAAAATGTTTATATTTTATTCTCAAAAAAATGTTTATATTTTCATGGGAAAAATGTTATTCGATGAAATATTATCTAAATATATTTAAATGGGGTCGTGTTTTTAAGGATATATTATAAGAAAATTTAATGTTGCAATCGAAATTTAATTGCGTACTAGGTTTATAAACTATAATTCTTTTAAGTTTTAAAATGTTAGCATGTCCAGATAAGAAAGATGTTCTATTCAACAGTACCACATGTATTGCTGAGTGTTGCGATGGTGGCTGGGTGTGTCAGGTCACTCTCGGCGTAGCATCCTATTATCTAAGCGTCTTTTACTTGTATGCCATTAAAAAAGATGATCTAATCGTCTATGTCCTAGAAAAAAGTTCGATCTATCGTCAGTGTCAAGCTCGAAAAACTTTTCTCTCTCACGCCATTCTGTCTATTTGCAGCACTTACGGTGTGAAATATGGGTGGCAAAGGACTTGAATGCCCCTGAAACTTTTGTTTCTCACGTGTCACTGGGTGATTACGACAACGTACCAAACAAGTCATTTCGTAGTTTATTTGCTCCACGAGCCACAGAATTAAATATCAAGGACCAATTTAATGCCATCACACGTGTTGTCCAGAGCGTCATCCTGCGGGAGCGTGCAGCTGCGTCCTCTCCGTGGCGACGTCCGACCTGACCTTCACCCTGCACGCCTCGTCGTTCCGCTTCACCGTGTCCCGCCGCTCCAGCGGCGACGTCCTCTTCGACACCTCCGCGGCACTGGTGTTCAAGAACAGGTACCTGGAGCTGACCACGGCGCTGTCGGCGGACCGGGCGTCGCTGTACGGGCTGGGCGAGCACACGAAGCGCACGTTCCGGCTGCAGCGCAACGACACCTTCACGCTCTGGAACGCCGACATCGCCGCCTCCAACGTGGACCTCAACCTCTACGGCTCCCACCCGTTCTACCTCGACGTGCGCCCCGCCGCCGGCGCCGCCCACGGCGTGCTCCTGCTCAACAGCAACGACATGGACGTCGAGTACGGCGGCTCGTACCTCACCTACAAGGTCATCGGCGGCGTGCTCGACTTCTACTTCTTCGCCGGCCCCGCCCCGCTAGACGTCGTCGACCAGTACACCCAGCTCATCGGCCGCCCGGCTCCCATGCCGTACTGGTCATTTGGTACGGCCAGCTGCCAACCAGTTGTTGCTTTGCTTCCATGGATGGATTCACTCTGTTCTTGCAGCTGATCGAGCATTTGCAATGGCGATCCGTTCCGGTTCGTTGCAGGGTTCCAACAGTGTAGGTACGGGTACAAGAACCTGGCTGACCTGGAGGGCGTGGTGGCCGGGTACGCCAAGGCCAGGATCCCGCTGGAGGTGATGTGGACGGACATCGACTACATGGACGCGTTCAAGGACTTCACGCTGGATCTGGTGAACTTCCCGGCCGGCCCCATGCGGCAGTTCGTCGACCGCCTTCACCGGAACGGCCAGAAATACGTCGTCGCCGCAAGGTGCTTTCTTTTTCGGTAAAACTACAGCTCGAGTGATTTTAGGACTCCGGTCACTCGATTCCTCGAGTGACTTTTTGGCTTTTTTGAACGTATGTATGTTTTATTTGGTTCGCCTTTGAAATTTTCTAATTTGGCTTCTATAGAAATGATCTGGTTATTTTTCTGATTTTTTTATTTGTTGTTTGTATGTTTTATTTGCTTTTTCTTTGAATTTCTTCCAATTAGCACTTCATAGTAATTATCTGGTATTTTTTGCTATTTTATTATTTATTTTTTGTATTTATTTGATATATTTTATTTGTATCGTTAGATCTGGATCCAGCGATTTTAGATATCGAGTGATGGCTGAGATGTGAACACTTGATTGTGTTTGTTTGTTGGAATCGAGTGATTTTAAGGAATGTGACACTCAGGTGTCACCTTTCCCTAAAACACTCGAATGTCCGGTAGATACTCCCTTCTTTTTTTAGCAAACATATGAGCAAGGTGCTGTCTGCTGCTAGAAGCTCTCTCACAATTTAAAACTTAACCAGTGCAACACAAACACAAATGCAATACTCCGCCGAACTGTAACAAGACCATTTTTTTAATATGAACTTCTAACATCTTGTACTACGTTGTCAAAAGCATCTTGCAGAATGCAACAATTCACAAGGTGGGAACATATATAGCAATGCGAATTTGTTGCAATCCGATGTGGGGACTTGTCTGTTTCACCTTGTGATGGTAGGTTAGAATCTACAAAATCCCTAGCTGAAACACGTGTGATGGCATTAAATTGGTCCTTGATATTTAATTCTGTGGCTTGTGGAGCAAATAAACTACGAAATGACTTGTTTGGTACGTTGTCGTAATCACCCAGTCATCTATCACGCAGTGGCACATGAGAAACAAAAGTTTTAGGGGCATTCAAGTCCTTTGCCACCCACATTTCACACCGTAAGTGCTGCAAATAGACAGAATGGCGTGAGAGAGAAAAGTTTTTCGAGCTTGGATACTGACGATAGATCGAACTTTTTAGGGACATAGACGATTAGACCATCTTTTTTAATGGCATACAAGTAAAAGACCCATTATCTAAAGTTTAGTTGAGTACTAAAATTTTAGAACAGTTTAGTTCACTTATATGGTCTAAAGTTTTTATGAGGTTAACTAAATTTTAGATAATACTTTAGACATTTTATTTGGAACCTCGAGAGCTAAAGCGACCTAATGTTCAGTGGCTAAACTTTAGATCATGAATCGAAACAGGGCTTAAATCATATTATATATCTAAATTGTCTTTTAAGTCACATCGTCTATACCCTGCCGAGTAGTTATCTCTATAAGACGAAATGAGGGCCAAGCTCGAGCAAGAGATTGGGCCATGTTGCTGCATTTTCCAGGCCGTCCGATTCGCATGCCAGTTGATCTAGCCGTCCAATCCAGTTCTCTGCCTCTAGCGTCTTCCCGCACGACGCTGCTGCCCCCTCCGGCCGGTCGGCCACTTGGCCCTCGCATGCGCCCTACACCCAATGCAAGCTCCACCGCAAGGGCAGCCGCACTTGCACCTCTTGAGGAGCTGATGGTGCACCTAGAAGCTGCATGCCCGGCCACGACCACCAGTATAGGGCCTGTTTGCTTGAACTTATCAGCCGGTTTATCAGCTAGAATCTACATTATTTTTCTCTCATAACAAAAGCAGCTTGATAATTTGGTATCGGCCGATCAAAGCCCTCGCCCACGCGTACTACAATCGCCTAGATCTCTTGTCCACAACGCCACGAAGAGCACTTGTGAAAGGCAAGCGACCAAGCAGCTCTCATGGAGAAGCCGGCGCTAGGCAGCTCAGATAGGGAAGCGCTCGCTCTCGTCGCACACCTCTCCTACGTACCACTGGTGGCTTCATGGACTAACGAGCGGCAGCTCGCCACCGGCTGTATCTCCAAGGGCGTGACGACGAGGAATGGGGAGATGGACTCTGGCGGTCTGGCTGGCATGGAGCGTGCCCTGGCGTGTGGCAATGATCGACCAACAATGTGGCAACACGCCACGCAACAACAGCCCAGATAGGGTACGCTCACTACACCACAACACCAAGATTAGCGATGGACGATCTGACGCTACTGGAGGCCACTAAGAAGTGAGATGGGCTCCAGGGAGCACTAGAAGAAGCTCATCTATGTCACTTGCTTCTGCATTGTCATCCTGCAGCTAGCTATGAGCAAGAGGATCATGCACAGAGGCATGTTCAAATACACGTAGATCATGGATTAGCATCAGCATCTCTATGAAATCCATTTGATCACCTGAAATTGATTGTATTTCCATTTCAATTTGTGTTGACGGCTAAAAAGTGATGGGGGAGTCAAAGATGGAACTATAAGATCACGTGCAAAGATCAAAAGGAGCTCTTCCAACTATTTATGTCCAGCACGTATCTCGATGAGATATGCCGACGTTCTAGGTTGTGGCAGAACCGCCTAAAATAACTCGTTTCCGGAGGTGCTTGTCTTTCATTAGACACTAAACACACCAAGAGTGAGCTAATTTAAACAGTTCTGCCGAACTTACCCCATGGGAGAACCCGAAAATCCATATTTTTCAACAGGATCATGAATGGGAGAATAAAGCTTACAACATTTTAGCCATTTCTTAAATCACTTTCCATGTAATATCAGAGTACAATATTTATTGTTTATAACAGCGGAATATAACCATGTTATCAGAGTTTCAACAGAATTAAAATCATTTAATGACAAGTTAAACATTAACATGATGATCCGTTATATACGTCATAACATGTTATAAATTTTTTCATTGTAAAACATTTTTGGGTGTAAGTTTCAAATAAACTCTATGTCCGCGACGTTAAGGAAATCTTCGCTGAGCCCACCAGGAGGTTTTCACACATAAGTATCAGCTCCACATGTTCCTATCACCTACAATAGGGTAGAACAAACCCTGAGTACTCAATTGTACTCCGCAAGACTTACCCGTCAGGAGAAAAGAAAACACTCCAAGGATATGCAAGGCTATCTGGTTTGTGGGTTTATTGCATCTGCAGGAAGTATTACTAAGCGTGTATCCTTATATTCAATTTCATTAGCAGTCATCACTAGTTCATTAAATAACCATTCTATCAGAACCATTTTATCATCTTTCATATTATAGTTCTTACTACGGTGCTAGCTCATAGACAAGTCATACCGGATTACCCGACGATTCATGAATCAATATATCCCAGCTGGGTACCCCGAAACACAAGTCTCGCTTGTAGCCCAGGCACAAGAAGGACCAACCCACCACTCTCCTGTCAAGGGGTCCAGGTCCCCGTCCAGACTTGGACTCCAAGCCCCCACACCTGAGTCCTGGACTCAATGTGGTGCTTAGACCTCCACCATCCCCGCCTCCAATCAGTCGGTCCGGAAAGAGCCGGAACCCACGATAAGAGAGCAACGAGCCTTTTCTGCTTCCATAAACAAGCATGTGCTCAGGATAATAAATCTATGACCTGACTAGAATCTAATGCAACGACCGATCCTTAATCGACACAGGCGGAACAAATGCAATCCGAGCCTCGCTCGAGTGCCAAACCAAGTCCAGATCCAAAGTACCATTCCGCCCGATCTTCAATTATCATTCATATATATATATATATATTCCATGTGATATAATAACAACAATAATATATTTCCTATCTCTCGCGAGTGATAGGCAATCACTCTTCTACCGGAGTCCTGTAGCATAGCAATCTACACGATCCTATCATACTAGTAAGACTCATAGGATAAAGATATATATATGCAAGTGGATTTCATTCAACTCCTTAAACTTAATGCATGAGTATAAAATAAAGTGCAGAATAGTAGGGGTTATGAACCGGGGCTTGTCTGGGTAAGATATAACCAAAAGTTAGCATTCTATCATGATGACACAATCATCAAGGCACCATCTTTTCCGCTACTTCGGTCATCTCCACAATCCATCGTTGTTCCTATTATGGTATACGTGGATGCAACGCCTCCAATCAGTCGGTCCGGAAAGAGCCGGAACCCACGATAAGAGAGCAACGAGCCTTTCCTGCTTCCATAAACAAGCATGTGCTCAGGATAATAAATCTATGACCTGACTAACTACTACAGGAATCAATTTGTGCAGCATGGCCAAAATGGGCTCCGTGGCGAGCACCTCTTTTGCCCTCCACGGTTAACCGGTGGCCGGCCAGCCGAGGCGCCCGCTGCGGGAAAAGGGTTTACCGCGGTGGGCCACCTTACTTGCCCGCCGCAGGAAATCGTTATTTACCGCGGCGGGTGGTATGAATCGCCCGCCGCGGTTAATATGATTTACCGTGGCGGGCTATTTAAACTGCCCGCCGCGGTAAAGAGTTGATTTACCGAGGCGGCGCTTTATCTTGCCGCTTGTGGTAAAGCACTGTACAAAATACACAGCACCACCCCTTCATCTTCTCCATGGGTCTTCCTCTCTCAAACTCATGGGGGGAGGCTTTGCCCTAAAATTTGAGGAAACTTTTGATTTGAGTTGAAGGGCTTGGATTTGAGGGAGGAGGACATCATAAGAGGTTCATAAAGGCTCTCCCTCTCTCCTTCCATCCTCTCTCTCTATTTCCATCACCTAGAGTTCTCTCTAGATCTAGATCTAGATCAATTTTAATGGAAAAAATGATGTCATGTATTTCTTTAACTTTAGATTCATCATAGATGCGTGCTTCATCTTTCACATCGTCATTTCCTCTCTTTTTCATGATTTTGGACGTAAAAATCATCAATTTCTCCTAATTCTTCTTTATTTAATGTTGATTGTGACGGATAATGTTCGCAGGTATGATGGATAGGTCAGAATGGATGTACCAGATCGATAGAGTGAATGATCCGTAGTACCTCTTTGAATTAAGGAAGTTTATTGCTACTGGTAAAGCTCACCGTGAGAGATTGAAGCGGATGACAACCATATGTCCATGTTCTCATTGCAAGAACTTGAAAGCCCACCGAGACAGCAAGGTGCAAACTCATTTGATCA